GTGACCTCTCTGCTCGTTACAGCGCGTGACCTCTCTCGTCGTTACAGGACAGCAGCTGGCTTTATGTAGAGACATTATCATCATGCATGGGCAGAATTTTAATATTGAAATCAACCCCTCAGATACAGCAGCATGTCTTCCAGGTAAAGGAAGCGGTAACCCTACCTGTGTTGGTCTGTGCACATTGATTCATTGGTAACATTCACTATAAAACAAGAAACAGAAATATCAGTATGCAACTTTTACAGCTCATACTGACCAGTTTTCTTGAAGTCTCTACACTACAACATCACAACAGAATCCCTAACATTCAGCCGTGGCTGTGGGTTTCTGTGTGCCACCCCCAGATCACCAGTGGACCCATCTGATGCATGCAGGACAAAGTCAACAACTACTACAGCCAACATGGCATCCGGACCGGCGTTTACCTCACTAACCTTGGCAGCTTTGTTGACTTTGTCTTCATTGCCCCGCTTGTGAACAAACACAGAAGCGGGCTTCGCATCCTGGAGCACCGCCGAGTACATGGTGAGTCCGGAGGGCAGAGTGAGGAGCGGCTCCTCCAGGGTGCAGCTCCGCACCGCGCTGCTCTCCGCACCCATGGGGCCGCGGTGGTTCCTGGAGCAGTGCCGGATGGGGACAAGCCAAATTTAAACTGTGTCAATGCAAGTTGAACCTTAAACGTTAAAGCCCAAGTGAAGCCGCCATACTGGTACCTGTTTCACTGCGCTGGATGCTGAGTGAGACGTTAGCTGCTGCTGCTAGCTGGCTAGCTGGCTAACCTCGGCGCTACGTTAGCCAGCTCCTCATTGCTGCCGCTCTTCCGCCTCCAAACACTCAGGCTAGTTCACAGTGTAGCACAAAAACGAGAAAACGATTTCACAAGATTCTCTTAACTGCTAAAGAATAAGAGGACAAGCTACTTTCAGTCCCCGCTTGTTGAACCAGCGATGCTAACGTGGAGCCAAAGCTGCGCTGTAAACACTGACTGTTCCGGTACGAGACGAAACCACAGCGCAGGGGGGCGCATCACGCTTAAATAGCTTAGTTATGAGTGTCTAAGAGCCGATTTACTCAGAAATGTGTACATATATCATCAGTATGTTATAGATTTGTGTCCCACAGGCATAAAAATCAACACTAACATGCTTCAGTGTAAGCGTTAAATTCATACAAACACCACGACACCCCCGTCCTGTACGCTAATGGTTGCAACCGAAGTGGTGTGAGACAACGCAGGTGTGTCCGCGGAGAGCTGGCTGCCATATGGAGGCCAAAACCAAAGCAGGAAACGTCACAGTCAGCCTGAAGTTCTGAAAGTCTTCTGCTGCTTTGGTCGGAGCAAGTTAAAGTCTGTGGACCGTCATGTGTCCGCGGTGGAGTCACCGCTATAGCAAAGCCAGGAGGCCGTTCAGAGGAGTTCAAGCCGTGACACCTGACAGGTGACGTTTCGATCACATCGCATCAAAACGTCATTTCCCACAATTCTGCTTTGATACAATTCAGATAGAAAAGCATGCTGTAGGAGCTCTGAGTCACATTCTGAGCATCAGTGCATATTACAAGTGAAGGTACAGCACTGCAACGAGACGAACTCATAGAAATAAATAACAGCATCAAGTAGAACATTTCTGGAGGCATTCTGAGTGTACCAGCGCTGCTTCTGCCAGCTGATATGTCCTGCTGTGGTTACATTAGGTATCATTCATGTGAGTGCATTTTATTTTGAAGAGCCAGCATACTTCACGGTTTCTTTTCACACCTCTGAGCTTTTACTTTGAAAGTGTGACACACTTCACAAAATCCTGGTGACTCTGTTTCAAGCACATTTTTTTAAAAGTGCAGTTAATTTTGTCTCCTTCTTACAGTTTTTACTCTACGTGAACAATTCATGCACACGGTTGTCGGCATTTTTGTCCCCTTTCACCCAGTGTGTGTCTCATTGCTGCAGCACTAGAATTATCTCACTGACTGCCATTAAACCTGAGCCCTGTGTGTGAGTGTGCCACAGGTAAGACATGGCAGATATGTTTCTCTAGACATCAACACGTGCAGGTCCTTCCCTTAGCTGGTAGTCGTCCTGCACGAAGCCTCAAAGCTACACGGCTTCTGTTTCAACTTTGCTCTCGTGGGTTCAGCAGGTAGAAGCTCCAGAGCTGGTTTTCTCAGACAGCTGCTGTCCTCAGCCACAGGACTGGCTGCTGGTCTTATACGACATGGTGTGGGCACATAGCTGGACGTCTTCCTAAATGTTTATGAACTTCAAAGGAGGAAAAAGCTTCAGTGATTCACAAAAATATAATAAGAAACACTTTAAAGAGGAAATGTTATTTTTTATTTCTGTTTAACCTTTATTTAACCAGGAAAAGGCTCATTGAGATTAAAAATCTCTTTTACTAGAGTGTCCTGGTCCAGACAGGCAGCAGCACAATCAACAGACAGACAAGGTCACAACAGCATCCACACAGACATCATTACTCATTTTTCTGCTATTTGTTAAAGACAGACAGATAAGAAAGCCGTCAGTAGTGAGGATACACGAGACGTAGCGGCCACGACCTGCAACCATCCGTCACATGGAGGCCTCATTATTTTCAGTCTTTATTTTCCAAAAACATCTGGTGGAAAGTAGTTTATTTTGAATTTGAAAAACATCAGTAACACAACAGTGTACATTTCTTTCTCCTGTTTTCCTCAGGCTGAGGGACTGAGTGCATAATCAGCAGCTCATTTGCATTTTTGTCTTTTTCAGATTTATTTTTCCATTCTGAAAACAGCAGCCATTGTCTAATTGCAGACGAACAAGAAAACAGAGACGCTGTCGAACACTAACTCTGCAAAGATGGCGAAGCTGTTCCTGTTCTTGCTGATTACATTTCCACTGCAGCCAATGAAAAAGCATCCAAAGCCTGCCCAAAGGTGAAAAAAATGCACTGTTGATCTACAGAGGAAACTACACTCCTGTTGACATGAACTGTACAATGATGTGCTCATTGATGCTTCAATAAGTCCAGACTTAAGGTGACACTGCAGCAGTTCTATTGGGCTGATCATGAACGTGTCTTTATATAGTCACTGTTTGTGTTTAATGCTGACCTATTTATAAGACTGTAAACCAGACTAGCCACATCTGAAGCAGTGAAATCAAAACTAGAACTCTAATAAACTGAATTCTACTTTTCTCTTCTACAAATGCAGGCCTCACACTAAGCCTGAGGGTGGAGCTGCTCCCTGCTCAGGGTTTGCACATGCCCTGAATCTCACAGGCGAGCAGGGACATCAGCATGGATGCAGAATTTAACCACGTGGAAGAGGAGGTTCGTTTAAAAACACATTTACAGTATATAGTTCATCAGCAACAGAGGACAGAGGCTGACACGTTACACTGGGACAGAAAGTTGAGAAAGAAAGTTTACGTGGTTCTCTTTAAAAATAAAATGAAAGCATGACACAGTGACCGACGCCCTCTGCCTGCTGGTCCCTCTCGACGGCCCGCGACTCGGCGCTGGGCTTTAGTTGGTGTGTGAGGGGTGTTTGTGTGGAGAGAGCAGACCAAACACCGGACACAGCGCTCTGGGTTGTGGCTGAGCACCTGAGCCAAGGAAATATACATAAATGGAAGAAATAGAAATAAATAGCCTACAAATACAACAGACATTCTTAAAATAAGGATGATTGTAGACTCCAGTTAGGTCCACTTTAACACACGACAATACGTTATGAACGGATCGTAGCTCCACACGCTTCCACCGTAAGAAAGGAAATGAAAGACAGCATCTGCTCAGCACACAGCTGGCTGGACGACGTGTCGGTTAACACGTCAGAGCAGCATGAACACAGGCGCTGATGTTGAACTTCTAGAACACCAAAGACAAACAAATGAAGATGATTTCTGAGTTAACTGTGTGAGGATCTTCTAAGAGTGTAAAAGTATACGTCAGCACATGTTCTCTTCAAGCATCACCTGCATCACTGCAACATTCAGCCATTCATAACGGAAACACACGTTTCACAACTGAGCAGCGAAGCCAGCCGTTATCTCTGTTGGTGTCTCGACTCTTCATGCATTCTGCATGTTGTTTGCTGGTTTCCTCTTCATCAGGAAACAGCAAACTGTCTAACTAATCATGTAATCACAACTGAAAACAAGCCTTCCTCAGAGGAAGTGACTAGCTGTGAATTTGGGTCGGTTACCTTAGTAACTAACCAGCAGCATAAAAAACACACAAGCTCACACTGAAGTAGGTTTTGCACTGAGAGCAGGAACCAGCATGGAGGAGCTCGGTAAGACGGTTTTCTGTCATGTTTTATCCTGCTGATACTCGTCTGTGGTGCAGCTAATAGCTTCTGACAAAGTATGAGGACAAAGCTTTGTGGTTATGGAATAAAACCACAGCAGCTTGTGTGTTTTGGGTCATTTATACGCTGGAGTCTAAGTACAGTATTTACAGTACTGAGCAATGCAGTTCATTTGTATTGAGCGCTGCTGTTTTTACGCCTTCTTATGATAGTTCACGTATGTAACCTTTACTTTGTCCTGTATTTGTACTGCTTATTATTTTTAATTTGTGCTGACATTTTATGCACAAGTCTTTAAAAACTGATAAAAATGAAGGTTAACAGATGGAATGAGGTAAAGAGAGGACTTTGGTGAACATACATGCACACAAATTCAAAACGACTTGTTTTCTTTCAGTGTGTCTTAAAAAGCGTTTGTGAGATGTGAGAACATGAAGACGTTGGTCGGACTTGTGAAGACAGCAGTGCTTCAGCCTGAACATTATTTCCTTTCTTTTCAACAGTCTTCTCGTCTCCTTCTTCATACAATAATCATTTATCTTGTGTGGTTTTACATGTGTGAAGGAGAGAGTTGAATGTGCTGCAACATTCTTATGACATTTACTGAGAGTTTCACTTCTGCAGTGTGTCATGCCATCACTTCCTGAGGAAGCTGACGCGCATGAAGCAACCTCCGTCCGCCTGCACTCAGTCTGTACACCGACATGCACTCTGGCTCACTTCACAAGAAAGATTTCACTCTGCACAAATGACACACACACACACACTGTGGTTGGCTGTAATTGCCCAGAAAGAACAAACACTGAAATAACCATGTGTTAAGTGGTTGTGTGAATACTGTACTGAATGCATGCATGGCTGCAAGAATGTGTGGTTTACAGATTTATGTCCTGAACTCTGCCACAGATTTGCTGCTGGAGGAGTTGGCCCTGAATTCGGCAGGTTCAGACGGCGTCCATGAGAACAGGAGCGATGATGTGGAGGTGAAGACAAACCACAAAAAGGAGCTGAAGCTGTGTTTTTACCTTCATGCTTTATCGCTTGTTTTATTTGTATGGGAACCTGAAATCCCTCCAACCGGCTGCAGAGTTAACATCCGCACTGTGAATTTACCAAAAACTACGATTGAACAAATGAGATTATCACATTAACTTGTAGTCTTGTGACTTATATGTTGGTCTACAGGTTCCAGGTGGAGTTTCTGCTGGAGTTACACCAAAAGGAAAAGGCTCAGTCACAAATGTGTACAGGTGACACACCAGGCCCACGCTGAGGCCGCCGTCCATCCACATTCACGTCATCGCTGTGTAGAGGAACGAGGAAGCACCTTGACATTTATTTCACATGATTTCAGAGTTGTGATATTTCCTCATAAAACAGCTGAATGTTCAGAAAAATCCTCATGACTGTCTGAGCTTCACCGTCTGGACGAGAACACGTGACCCGGATCTCATCCAAGAGCACAACTGCAAATAATGAGTTAAAGCGCTGCTGCTTCCAAATTGTGTCTGTGCAGATTTGCAGGGTTAAAAGTGCTTTGTGGGTTTTCAAAAGGTTGTCGCATTTAGACTTAATAAAGATTAGACTTTACTTCTATACGGATCCTGGATTCTGTTCAGAGACACCGTTCTTTATTCAGGGACAGTCGGTGTTGGTACAGCTTGACTTCAGAATTTGAAATACTTTGCTCTCATGTATATTCTCTCTCTTTTTGTGATTTTAGTGCTCTGCCAGCTCCTGTGGCAGCTTCCTCGGATGCCGACTCACCTACGCAGGAGCTGGAATCCATCCTGCAAGATCTGATGGGTCTCGCTGAAGGGGTCAGTACGGCGTCAACAAGAGCACGTTGGAGAACGAGTGAAAACCCTCCATGTAGATCCTCTGTGTTCACTGCATGTTAAAGAATCAATCAGGAGGAACTCTGGTGAACATACAAAACAGTGAATTTGAAGGAAAGAAATGTTTTAAACATGAGTGAAGTTAAGCAGCTTGATCAACAGGGGGCAGCATTGCACTAACGGCAACACTACACAGTCTGAAATAGAATTTGGTAACGGATCATTGCAAAGGTTTGACCTCACATGTATTCAATATATAACTAAAATAGCAGATAAATAGCAGATATTTGTGCATATTGGTTCATCCAGGAGCACGCAGCCACCCCACCGCCGCTCACACAAAAGCAGTCTGTGAAGAAGAAACCAGAAGGTGGACAACAGAACACGGAGGGCAGCAGCAGCCCAGCAGGCTCCGATCCAAAGACCTCGACCCAGAGGAAGAAAACAGACACCATCGATGACCTGCTAGGAGGCCTGAGCTCTGACTTGGAGAAGATCGGTGTTTGCACCACAGCCAAAGGCCACTGCGCTTCCTGCAACAAGTGCATTGTGGGAAAGGTACAGTCTGAACCCACAGGACACAAGGAGGGAAAATTTGACACCCTGGTGCCAAATTGTGGAAATTGAAATGAGGTGAAACAGATCAGAAGCTCTTGTTCCCTTTTTCTCCAGATGATCACGGCGCTGGGCCAAGTGTGGCACCCGGAGCACTTTGTGTGTGTGGCGTGTAAGGCCGAGCTGAGCACCACAGGCTTCTTCGAGCGGGACGGGAGGCCGTACTGCGACAAAGACTACCACCAGCTCTTCTCCCCACGCTGTGCTTATTGCAAGGGGCCAATCATGCAGGTGACACAGGATCGAATCACTGTGTGCACAGACGGCACGCTTCACATGTGTGACGTGTGTGTCGTCCTTCTAAGTGGAAAACATTCGACAACATCCGCAATCATAAATAATCCACAAAATAGCCATTTGGAACTCGAACTTGAAACAGATCCAGCGTTTCCTTTGTTTTCGGGTTCATACTATAATTTCTTCTGTCATATATTACATCCATTTATTTACACTATAATCTTTCACAGATTGGATGATGACATCCAGTAGTGTGTAGTTAATTTTTCCTGACGTTTCCCACATGTCATCTTAATAAATAGAACACAAACCCATACTGGGGTTGTGCAGACTGGGCTTCCAGCGAGCTGCAGACCAGAGTCATTAATCAGAAACTAATGCAGCTTCTTCGATGATTCACTTTTTTGTGGTTTTGCGATCCACAATTTTTGTGTTTCCTGACATTTGAACATGTGAGATGATACAAACCTTACTAATCCTCAGAGGAAGCAAATGCATGATGTAATATTTCTGTCTGGTTTACCAGAACATCGTGACAGCTCTGGACCAGAACTGGCACCCAGAGCACTTCTTCTGTACGCACTGCGGAGGCCTGTTTGGACCGGAAGGTGGGACATTTGTGCGTTCGTTTCTCGCCAGTGGAAGCCACGGCTTCACCACACAGTTCACAGGATCTTGTATCTCCTGCAGGGTTCCTGGAGAAGGACGGGAAGCTGTACTGTTGCAAGGACTTCTACCATCTCTTTGCTCCCAAGTGCTCGGGCTGTGGGGAGTCGGTGAGGGAGAACTACCTGACTGCAGCCAATGGCACCTGGCATCCAGAGTGCTTCGTCTGCGCGGTGAGCCTCGTACCTCGGACCACACACGCAGCTCTGGCTCGCATACGAGCCTGAGAATAAATGAGAAAGATACCCACATATTTGCTTTATTTGCAACATTTTGACCGCGAGCCTGATGAAAACCGTATGCCTGATGAATACGTCGCGGTCGAAATGATGCAGATAAATCAGGGAAACCATATTCCTCGGCGTGGGTATCTCTTTACATTCTCCTGTAACGCAGCATCTGGTGAAAAACGGTTCCGTGTGCAGCTGTGTTTCTGCTTTACTCGAGCCATGTCAAATGTGAAATGCTCTCAGAAGAGATGTTCTGACAGAAAGGTAGAAACTGCAGGTTTAATATTTTATTTATAGTTTTTCTTGCAGCTACTGAGAACATAAAACTCATTGTTCTTAATCCCCATCGCTCAAAGTTGCTACTGGCAGCATCACATGAAAGGTGGCCTACGTCCAGCTCCGGCAGTCATCACTCAGAACCAGCAGGCTGCCGTCAGTGCAGAACCTAAACATTGTTTTATTTGGAGCCCTCATTATCAGCAAGGTCACTTTCATCTGGCCTCCATCTGATTCCAGCGGGCAGGAGGTCAAACACTCCATAAAGAGGACCAAGTGGACACTCGAAACTGACCGAGACTTTTTAATCAACCTGCTGCTAAAAATAAATAAGGCAGTTCACACAATTTAGGACCTTTGCTCTTTCTGGCTGCTCTCACTGAGCTGTTGTGCAGCTTGTTCCCGTCGACAGCGCACAGATTTCCATACATGAACCATCAGCCTGCTGCAGTACCCCCACCGGAGCCGAGGCTGCTCTGCTCGCTAATGAGGGCTCTGGCAGCGCTATGCTCATCACACGTCGGCTGATTATTATCATTAGAGCCACGTCCACTCTCTCGTGCTTTATTTTGATTGCAATCTGCATGAAAATGACCAAACATATTTATTGTTTTAGCTCGTTTTCGAGAAGCGCCGAACAAAACGAAGCTTTTCTTTTCTAGTGAATGTTTTGACTCGTTAAAAACAGATTTTATTATTGTAATTAATGGATTATTCCAGCGCGGTGTTCCAAGGATCTGGCGCTGTGCTGTCATTTCTTCCTGACACATAATAAATGGAACAGACTCGGTGGTGATGTGAAGGCTCACACCTGTGCTTTTACTGCAGCAGTATGACAAGCAGAGCGTCTGCCAAGACTAATGTCAGCAGTCACATTCAGGAGCGCCGCTGCTCTACGTTTAGTTTCCACTTATGTTCTCCTAGTTGTTAATGGATCGTGAACAGGAACGCAGCTGTAACGCTGTTTTAGTTTTCATATTAAAGGTCCACCGTCGCTTCATTATGTAGCTTCACGTTAAATACCAGCTGACCCTCTGGCAGGCTTAGAAATACATTTTGGTTTCCATTCATTACAGCAAATTGTCAGATTACAGGGACTTTAAACTTCTTATGGAGTTAATCCATCACCGAGAACATGAAGCTCACATTTTGAGGAGCTGCTTTCGTGCTGCAGATGATGTGCCACCGTGAGCAGAGACGACTTGATGTGAATTTAAATGGTGTAATCCGCCACAGCCTGCTCTGAGCTGCTCTTACATTCACACCTTCAACTCGCTGAGTGTTTGTGGACAAAACTACAGACTGCAAAATCACATCAGCAATAAAAAGAAGCTAAAACATGATTCTGTTGTCACAAAACCAACAAATGATCTGATGCAGTCATTTGATACTCGGGTCTGATTATTATTATTATGATGTACGTGATCACATGCTGCTGATACCTGCTGGAGGAGCACCAGACCATCCATGAACCTGAGCACCAGTCAACATGTTGTCCTTTACTTTGTCGCTCACTAAAGGAATAAGGGACGTCTGTTATCGTCTGACCCGTCTACTCCAACAACATCGACTGAACACAGGAAGTCACAGCCGGTACTCCTGATCTGAAGAAACAACACGACCTGGACATTCTCAGTTCTTTTACAGTTTTTCACGTCTCTTTGAATCATTTCAAGACCCCTTAATGTCATGCAGCCTCCAGATTGGAGCTGCCGCCTCAAAACGTAGCTCAGAACCAAAGTGTGATGGATGGGCAGATAAGAGGCGAGTCAGAAATGTATCAGGAGTAGAGGTCACTGGAAGCAACGCACACGTCGGCTAAATCATGAAAAACACCAGAAAGGTCCTTTAAAAGCAAAAACATCTGATCCAGGTATACAAGATGTACCTTCTTTTGTTTTTATCCTCCCTACTTCCTGCATCAGCTTCCACATGCATATTATATATGTTTTCTTGTTTTGCTGTATTTAGACTTTTTAATGCTCCTTTTCTCGGTAAAATAACAATTTTGCACCTTATTTCTCCTGCCAGCCCATTTTGCATGTTGTTTTTTACACGTTATTTTCTCTCATTTTTCCGTCTTGCTCCCTCCAGGACTGTCTGAAGCCCTTCACCGACGGCCGATTCATGGAGCTGGCCGGCCGGCCCCTCTGCTCGCTGCACTTCCACTCCAGGCAGGGCACCCTGTGCGGCAGCTGCGGGGAGCCCATCACCGGCCGCTGCATCTCCGCTCTGGAGCGCAAGTTTCACCCCGAGCACTTTGTCTGCGCCTTCTGTCTGCGGCAGCTGAGCCAGGGCATCTTCAAGGAGCAGGAGGGGAAGCCGTACTGCTCGGCGTGCTTTAACAAACTCTTTGTGTGAGACAAGAAGCTGCACGGTGCTGCATCACTGTCACTGCTGACGTTGTGATTTGTTTCAGTGTAAATGATGAATTAAAACCACCCACCTTTCCTATGCTGGTGTCGCAGTGCTTCACTCTCCCCGGCTGGAGCTGCACTGGTCCAGACTGTCAGAACCTCATGGCGGACTGAGGTAATGGGCATTTTAAGTGATTTGGGAAACTATTATAGTGAATTATATGATTCAGAGCATGTAAGAAGGGGAGTGGTGTGAATATCAAAGGGAACCACTCAAACCCTGTAAAATAATGAATGACACGGTCGTAGAACACAAAGCAGACAGATTTCCCATTGAAGCAGCTTTTACTCATGTGAACTCTGGATGCTTGTGAAAGGTGTGCTGCTGACACTGGAAGACATTTTATGGGATTTCTAACATCCTGATCACGTAAAAATTCATAAACGGAGAAAGAAAAACACAGTGGTGCTGTTTCAGTCCTCGGTTTCCATTAAGCGACGCTCAGTTTGCCATAAGACTTGGCAGTGCGCTGATGCGCTCTCGCAGTCTGGAGCGCTTTGTCAGGGGGCTTGTCTACGCGGCCCGATAGCTTGTATTGGCAGTGGCTGGCAGGGAACCGGCTCGCCAAGCCCAGTTTCCTCTTACTCCGACTGACCACTTGGCCCCTGGCAGGCACTGGATTCAGACAACCTCCTCATTCTCTGCACAGACTCCTTTACAGCCGCCCGTGGAAGATTAATGAAGCCGCTGAGGTTAACAAAGGTGGTTTCAGAAGGAGGGCCTTCACATCCTGGATGTGTTCAGAAACTCTCTCCGCCTGTTGAGGGACGAATGAACCGCAAAGTGTCTGAAATGCTTCAGAGGGAAAAATGATTTGGGTTAGGCATGTTGGAGCTCATTTGTTATTTGCTGACGTTACATTATACTGTGTGTAACATGAAGGGAAGACGTCTGCAGCACCGTGACGACGTCATGAGTGTGACGTCAGTCGGTTCTGCAGAATTAAACAAACAGAACAAAACTTGTGTTTTACAGCAACACAAACCGAGACGTTGTTCAACAACACTGACTGCAGCAAAGCCTTCAGGTCGGCCACTTGGTTTCCCTTTTTGCAGGCTTCACATTTATTCTTCAATCGACTGGCTTCCTTCTGCAGTAAGAAATGTTCACACAGGAGCTTAGCCTCACTGAGGTGAACATGAAACAGCCCCCAGCATTAGAAATCAGAGAGATGAACCTGACAAAGTCCTAATTTCACTCCAGCATTTAGATCCCCATTATTTATGATTTACTGATGAAATTCCTGCTGTTTTTCTTTATAAATGATGATTGTTTTTATAATGTCTTATTGCTAACGACAGCCGTGACAACAGTCACTTCACTGCACAAACCATGTGAGCAAATAAAAGCTCTCGAATCTTAACCTCACAAAAAAATACATGAAACCCCAACAAAAGCATCCAAAAACCCGGTTACAGCCTCCTTTTAGTTCGCTATACGACATCACAGAAGCAGACAGAACTCTGACCATACTTGCGTCCATCATGGTGGGTTCTTGCCGATGCCAAACAGTTCCTTATCTTATCTTCAGACGAACACTGCCCACTCTTTGTTGGCCCTGTAGGCAGCTGTCTGCAGGTTTTCCTGAAGCAGGCCACTTGGGCCGGCTGTGTGAAGCTGGTGCGAGTGTGAAGGGAGCTGGGCATTAATCATGCTGTCATCGCCGTCAGAGCAGGCCTCGGACGGCCGCCGCAGAATACGCTGCTTGCATCATGGAAGAAGCGTGAATGTATTCTGCTCGGTCAGAATCAAAACCCAACATCGTAAGGGTTTAATGAGGCAGCAGACGAGTGCCCAGATTCCTGGTGAACTCACAGAGCTGCTATAATGTTAAACGTTAGATACGCTGGACAGATTTACATGTTGTGCTTTAAGATACACGAGGAATTTGAGCGTGAGTCATACGTGGAGCTGATGGGAGGCCTCGGCATGGAACACCTCCGTAAAGTTTAACATCGTCACATGATATGTTCATTAAACGCTGCGCTTTGTGGCTGATGCTCTGTCACAACCGATTGCTATCAAAACTGACTTTCAGGACCTTATTTTTCCTAGAAAGGGTGTCAAAGAGCTCAGGGTTAGATGAGCAAAACACACACATGCAAACCCACGTTCATTCAACTCCATAAGACCTGTCAGATAGAAAAGCAAAAAGCACAAATGTCAAAACTGTCTTTCCTAGAAATGCCTCCAAAGAGCCAATAACCAGGTTACGATTAGACGAGCAAAAAAAGAGAAAGAAAACACATGCAGACCTCCGTCTCTGCCGAGTGTACGTAGCTACAGAAAGCAGAACCTCTCAGATAGAAAACCAGAAAACAAAAATACCAGCCGCTAAAAGAGATTCTGGCATTCGCTGAAAAACAAATCAGTGTTATGGTGTAGCTGAGTGAACGGGGAGGAAAAGGCTCTCTGGCACGCAGTAAAAATGAGAAAACATGAAATGTGAGCGGGGGTCTTTTTAAAAGGCTGCTGGATAAAGGGCGGTCTGTGGACGGCGGGGAGAGTGTAACTCAGGTGACATTTACAGCAGTGAAACAGAGTACGAACGGACTGGGAGTGCACCGGGCCATGAGATGGCAGCTCGATGGGAGACGGGACGGGAGTGACGACTATACTGGGTCAGAGTGGACGGGGTGAGCAGGGCAGCGAGCCTCTGAGACTTTCCCTTGTATGACACTGAAACCCAACACTCGCCTCCTCTGCTGTAAAACGCTCGTGTCCGCTGGGCCACCCCGATGAGGACGGCGGGGCGGCCTGTCCAGAACCCCTTACAGCCCCACAGTGGGTCACACCCGGGCCAGCGCCGCCCAGCCCAGTAAACCCAGAGGCTCAGCTTTGAACCCATAACTGTCAAAACCGTCCTGAGCCGCAGACCGACTCATTAATCGCTTGCAGACGACTCGACGGTAAAAAGTCGGTGTGACAAGCTGAAGCGCCGGCTCCAGTGGGTGCAGGAAACGGATCGGGTCACTGCAGCGTCATCGATGCGCATGTTGATGAATGTTCTGATGAAAACAACAAACGAGCAGGTTTCTGCATCTGTTGCTCACATAAACAGAAACAACTAAGATGTGATTTGGAGCAACAGCACAGAGTGAAGCTGAACCTCATGACCTCTAAACACCCTTCTGACTGTAGATAGCAGCCATTCTGCCCGTCTGCTTGTAAACATCAACAACTTCCACGTTTACTGTAAACATCACAAACTTTTGCACCTCAT